CAGCTTAAACCGGACGCGCTACATCGCTTGGACGTGAGACACCCCTGAAGGTATACGGTAACCTTAAATGTGATCGTGGAAGGGGCAGAGCTAATTGTCCATATTACACAGGTGTCCTTATTTTAGAGCTAAAAATTATGTCATTTTGATTTCTCTGGGATCACGTGAACTACAAAGAGTTGTATGTATTACACAGATGTTCATAGTGAGAGGTTCAAAAATGAACGCAGTCATGCTATTTCTAATTATTGAAAAATCCCAACCCTTAAAATCAGTCAGTCATGAAGACAAGTTTGTGAAGCATTTTCCTCTGTTTCCAGGATGTGTCCATACACTTATTAAGAGCTGTCATGAACTTTTGACTCTTCTGTAGCCTTGATCTTCACACCTGTAACAAATTTGTTACCTATTGAGTGAATTGTATCTACTGTAGTCCAGTTCACCCATGACAGCAAGGACCCATCAAACATACTTAGCTGCAGCAGGTGTTACGGATCACGGCCCTTTTGACTGCCCTGCTTAATGGCAGGTTTAGTAAGAAACATATTTTTGAGAGTACCAAAGGGGAGGGGGGACCCAAATGGCGCTATAAGACCAGATAAATAACCATATGATTGATCAGCTGTTCATGCTTAGCTGTGGTACTGTGTGGAACTCTTGTCACTGATCTGCACTCTCATCAATGATCTGTCCAGGGATGTTTCAAATTTGACTTGGATTAAATTGGCATGGAGCTGTACATGTTCACGTATATATTACGGTGTATGTAACATTAATTAAATACATTTACTAGAAGCTTACAGCATTTTTAACAGCTGCCGTGTACAATGTGCAATGTACATGACAGTACATGTTATAAATGAGTAGCCAGAACGATTCACAGTGATTGCATCAAGTTTTACTCATTAGACTGAGCTTGACTCTTATATGTAAGATAATCATATGAGTACCAGTGCAATTAGGGATTCACACTACCAGTGATATTTGAAAATTTTCTGCAAATTGCATAAGCCTTTAGGTAAGTACAATCTGGGAGAATTCACAAATATCACAATTAGTGTAAATCCTTACTTCCTGAAGATTACATTCAGTAGGCCATATTCGTATTCGCGATATTGGACTGGAACTAGCTTGCAATAGAGGCTTATGCGGGGGAATATCATTAGAAAGCGACAAATGTCATTTACATTTGAAAAGACTCCCTGCATTAGCCTCAGTTGCAAGTTAGTTCCAGTCCAGTACCAAGAATACAAATATGGCCTATTGCTCATTTATTACATGATTACAAAATTATGAATGCCCATGTTTATTTGCACTGCGGCCTGCTCTCAGCCAATCACAATGAGTAAATTTTCTCAGTCATATACAGGGTAATACAAATGTACATACTACAGGGAATCTATTTACCTGTCTACATTACTATTGCCACAAATGGACTTAGTGTATTAAGCAGTCACTCATCATAACCCACTAATTTACTTTTCAATAAAATGACACCGCTCAACTTACTTTCAGAATAAGCTTTGGGAGGAGAATGTAATTCGCCTTTTTAAACTGACCTCAGGGTCTGATGAGTTTGGCGTTTTGCTCACTGATGACTACATTTCCCACATCAAGTCCAGAGTGAGTGATTCCAGCATTCTTCTTACTATAGGTTAGTTTCAGGCCATTGTAAATTACATGTATACATGGGTCATGTAGGTATATATGTTTTTTGTTGTTGTTGTTTTTGGTGTTGTTTTTGCCTTTTCTAAATGTTTGCTGTTTGTTTTGGTTTTTTTGTTTTTTTGGGTTTTTTTTTTGTCTGTTTGTTTAATATTTGTGTTTTTTTATTTGTTTAGGTATAGTTTTTTTTCTTTTTTTCCCTTTTGTCATTATACATTGAAAAATTATTTTATTCAGTCTACAGTGTCTCTAGGTGTTAACTTAGATGGACAAAAAAGAAATATTATTGCCTCATTAAGCTTGCTTTTGTTCTTTTAGACAAATTTGTTAATGATGTCCTTCCAAGTCATATAGATGTCAGTATAAGTAAAACTGTTGCAGTTGGGAAATATAAACTCTCTGAGGAGGAGATAACGTAAGTCAAAATAATTATGTTTTCCAAATGTACCTCTTTTCAACAAGCACATCTATGCCATACAATCTTTTTTTTAAATTTATTTTAAAGATTGACAAGTACCAGACAATATAATGGCGTACATGTTCATGTACATACAACTGTACAGCTGGGTTTTGTGTTTATTTTTTTCAGCCAACTTGTCAACACTGGTGTCCTTACAACCAGGGACATTGGAAGCTGGTGGTTGTCTATTCCTGGTGCAGGTATCTTCATGAAAAACTTTTCTAATGGTAAGGCAACATTATTTTAATTTTCCCCACTCACATGATTACATGTACTTCAAAAAAATCTTCTGAGTCAACTGTAATGTTCTGGTTTGGAAAGTATCTCACCACACATTTGTTCCTTTGTTGTTGTTGTTGTTGTTCATTATTTTATTTCTTTTTGTGTATAATTCCATCACTTGCTATGATGCACTTATGCGTTAATTTTAATTATTTTCTTTGTTTGTTTTATTCAGTTTTATGCTGATCTTATCTTGTTTCTTTTGTTGCTTTTTATATCTCTCAAAGGAAGAAAGGCTCTTATTCGAATGTTCCGACAACGGAAATATCGTGAGATTCTTGAGAAGGTATTAGCCAATGGTTTTAATTAATAACACATTCTTATTAAAGTTCCTTTTGTAAAGTTTTTATTTTTCCTCTTTTTGTAAAGTGGAAAGAACACTCTTTACACTGTGTTGGTGTGCATTCATAAGAATGAGTTAGCCATGCATAATGTTTAGGTTGGGTTGAAAAAGAACATCTCAATTTGGCTCTGAAAGGAAATTCAACAATGTATTTCCTACACCTACTTGTAAGCTGGGAAGGTTGAGTGTACAGTGTACATTACTGGGAACATTACAAAAAAGTGTAACACTACCTTGGGTTTAATTACAACACCCATGTTGGGTGTAACAAAACAGCGTCACATACCTGTATATTGAATTTTAAAACTTATATGTAAAAAAAAGTGTTGCATTATTTTAGGTTGTGTTGTACCAAAATTGCGTTACACGGTTCAATAAACAGTGAAATGTATAACTTACATGTACAGTAACATTGAGATTGAAAAGAAATACATGTACATGTAAAAATACACTTACGAGTTTAAAAAGGGATTTATTTAAATCATGATTTAGTAGCATTTTTATTAAAAACGTGGGTTAAAAAATCATCGTTTTACTTTAATTGCATGTTGGGTTTCACATACTGCATTACATGCAGCATTACAAAAATCTGTAGGCTTTGCTGGGTTTAAAGCAAAGTTTACAGTTAACTTGCACTGAATTGGATTTCGAAAAACAAAAAGCGTTGCATTGTGGTCGAGTTTGAACACATCGCAAATATTATGTTACATGTTGTTACTCACAAACAACACACCATGATTGCGTCATGCATGTTCTGGTTTACAGAATAGCTGTACTGTACATTGGATGTTGGCTTTGAAGAAATATCATTATCGTTATATTTTGTTTAACTAAAAAGTATCACTACACATAATTATGTTAGATACCAAAAACCTGAAAATTATGCTGGATTTGACAAAAACAAAGAAGCATTCCCTCTTGTTGGGTAGATCAAAAATAACCTTCCTCACAATCCATGTACATGTGCACTGACCTTGACAAAAGACCATGATGTTTTGCTGGGTTCGGAAAGCAACTTAAGGTAGCTAAACAGGTAATATAGTGAGTTGGCCCTCTATTATTTACACCAGTCCACTTGTTTTGGTGTGCTCGCAAACCTCTTGCCTTTTAAATTAGGTATTTTGTAGCTGAGCAACCAGATCGTTGATGGTATCTTCATTGATGGTATCTCCAGGTTATAGCGACCGCTGACGGGGAGAGGCTGGTAGAGCTAAAAGCCCTTCCACTTTTTTGCCTGGGTTGATTTTTTTAGGGCACTCTAATGCTTGTTTGTCTTGGTCGGCATTTTTAGCCCCACCACTTTAAAGTGGTCTCCACGGTCCTTGGGTTGTGAAAATCATTAGTCTCAAACACGCTATTTATTTTACATTCATGTTATTTTGGCGCAGTTGAACTTCTTAATCTTTAGCTTCGAAATCTTTACGTATATTTTTCTTGGGTTTTTAAAATTCGTAGTCTTAAACCTCTAAATCGTTAAACGTGCACATTATGCTGGGCTTGGTGATCTTCCCTTGGTGCGGTATATTGAAATCTAGAAAATATAAACCACCTTGAATCTTTCACGTTCCAAATCGTTATCTCAGAACAGTGCATGATTTGTGTTTCGTTTCCAGAGCACTTTGTATGGTAATCCCTATATCGTAAAGGCACTCAGTACCTTATGTTAGCCTTGATGCGTTTTAAACCTCAATTCTCAATAAAGAGTACATATATATGTTCTTGTACATGTAGTTGGGGTTTGGTGAGAAATTATTTCATTGTAAATTCCTTGTAGGCAGTTGTTGTGACTATTTATTGCTGGGTCTCGTGCATTCTACTGCATAAATTCACTATGTTGGGCTTTGCCGTACATGTATGTGGGTTTACATTTTGTTAGGTCGGGTACGTTTTGGGTTTTGGGCGGACATTCTTACGGGCAAATCACAATAAATATATTATGTTGGATTTTTCTTTCACTATTCTTTAATTTTAGAGGATTTGAGGAAATTTTGTCAAGTTAGTACGTATTGCACTTCTTGAATCTTTTCCCTCAAACACGGTATACATTATTTTGGATTTGACTGGTTCTAATAATGAAATGTGGGGGATATTTTGCTCGTTATGCCTCTAAGTATTGTGATTCATAAACGTGAGATACATTTTGGTGGGTTTTGCGCGCCAGTTCTGTTTCTTAAAACCAACAGTCAGCAAACATTTTCCGTTGGGTGACCTAGATCTGAGACTTCTTTGACCACTTAAGAGTCGTGAAGAGGATGTGGTCTGCACGTCCTAAACGTGACCTCAAAATCATTGTACATGTAAAACAGTTCGTCCAAGCTTGTGATCCCAAAGGTATTCCTGCACCAAATACAAAATTCTCCTAAATATTATGCCCTCTAAATCACAAACTGAAATCCCGTCTCCTAATAAGCCCTCCCACTTCGTCCCCTCCCCCAACTAGAAATACACCCCTCCTTACGTTCATACGTGCTCATGGAGGCTGATGGAGCCAATGCCCAGTTTTAGCTGTTTTTTGACTACTAGCTCTGTATTTTAGAGCTTGTTTAGTTTGTTATTTCAGTGTGCTCTTTGACTTATGATGTTCATGTAATGATTGCGTTACACGTTTTAAGTTTCATATCGTTGTCGTTCGAGGTTTACTTTCTTGTATTGCCATGCACCTGTGTTGTGAGTTGCAGCAACGTGTTTCGTGAATAAAACCGTATTACTTGGTTTTGAGCCCGAACTATTATGAAACGTCCATGTCCTTACAATACCCCCGTTACCTTACGATTTGTATGGTGAGTGAATATTCTCGGGCATCACTTTTTAGGGCTAAAATTGTTATATTCTGTATCATTTTACAGGATCTTCTTACCCGTAAATTCGACAGCCATTCCAAACTTGGAATAGCTTACCACGTATATGACATAACCGGCGCTGAAATTGTCAAGAGGTAACGGCTAATGTACTTCTAGCTGACTCAGTTCTAAATCCTGACTCCTCTCCATTTCTGAGATTTTAAAGTGAGATCAGGACTTTGTCAGAATAGAGAGTTCGTTAGGAAGTTGGAAAAATAAAGTGTGAAAAAGAAATTGATTCAAGGGCCTGGATTAACTAGTGTTAACTGCGCATGTCAGATTGCCTACACAGCCGGCAAGAGACACCACTGATGATGGCTTAGTTGTGAACAACTGCAGCAAAGCTGCCTCTTATCGATAGAAGAACTCCTGTTTAGTATTCGTTAACTGATGTTTGTAATTTCTGAATTTCTAACTGCTGTTCAGTATTTCTCTGGAAATACTGAGCAGAGGCACTTCGGAAGATCGAAGGGTTGGACCGTGAAGGCGTGGGAATCATCGAACGACAGTCAGTTTGCGAGCTGTATTTTATTTGTCGCTCAAAGACGGGTACATATTCACATGAAGATAATATATATATTCACTGACATTCATTTAGTAACATTGATTCTGTAATTTCCTTTTTTACGCTTACAGCGTGGAAACCACTTCAGGACGATTGCTTAGACTGGATATCCAATCAGAAAGCCGGGCGAGGTCTAAGAGATGACACGTGATTTCTTCTAATTGGAAGGATAGTAATTGTTTCTGTGAAACGTTCTGCAGGATAGCAATTATACATTAAAAATTCTTGTCTATGGTGAAGACATCTTGACTTCATCTTACTCAGGCTTAAATCATCCTGAAATGATAGAAGACATAAGAAGTGCGATTATAACATCAGCTGTCCCTGTAATATTTATATTTATTGTATTCCTCCAGGTTCGAACTTATTGTATGCTGTGTGTTATATCTCTATGTTGTGCAGTATCAGATTTTCAACCACATGAAAAGCAACCTTTCAGATGAAGGAAACGAAATGTCGATGGCTTTTAAAACTTCAATAAATACCTCTCATAAACGAGACTGTAGATGTCATCTTGGACTGTTCCTTTTAAGGCATTATCCATACTGAAATAACAAAATTAGCAGAAGTATTAACATTGAAGGCAAACTTGATCCAATGTTAATTCATGCCCCCGGAACTTTGTGCAGTTTGCGGGTGTCTTAGGTGAAAGAGAGGCGCCAAAACGTAAGATTTGAAAACTGCATAAGATGCATCTGTGACGAAGACTACCAGTGTGGTTGTCTCAAGGGCCATAGGCGTGCCATGGCACGATAAAGACTGTTGATGATGATGACGTAACTGCCTCTTGCTCCAATGAAAGGTGCAGAGCGATGCCGAAAGTGTTGGAACCATTTGACCACACCGTTACGCTGTAAAAATATTTAATTCAGGTCTAACTTGTCTCCAACACTGAAAATCACGAGTTGACCATACAACATTTTGCGTCCATGTGGTCCCGCTGTGCGACCATTTACCCCTGGGGACTCCAATATTAAAGGGAAACAATGGTGGTCGTCACTGTTAGAGATGTAAACTACATGGTGTTAGACTAAACGCCGTTGTTTTTATCAGCAAGGTTTTTTACAGGGCTCTGTATGCTTTTACATGGGAGTACCCTCCCCTCCCCCCTCTACATTCTGACATTGTATAGGACGAAAATGGGATCTCATTTCAGAACTGTCGACGGTCAGAAACCAGAAGTTTTGTATCGCTACCGCATCAGAGAGCTGAGGTCGCAGCATAAAATGCCTGTTTACCTTTCATACATGGGGTTGTCACTTTCCTTGACAGTTTCAACGCTGGAAGATAAAAAGTGGAAAATTACGTGTCACAATCCAACTTTACTATGTAGTAAGGAGAATGGAATGTTCGGTTATTTTCTCACCTGCTGGCGTATAATGGATTTTCACTCTCTCTGATTTCACCGTTGAGCCCATCCTTCGCTGAATTCTCCAGACAATCTCTGTTTAAAAAAAAAACACATTTTATTCCGCTGGAATACATGCAAATAACTCTTTGTTAATCTTTCTGGTCCTCAGCTTGAAATACGAATTCTCTTCACTGTTAACCATACATTTGCTGTACATTTACATTTACCCATCCACACTAGGCCCGCAAAACTTGAAAACGCATCTTTACCTCTGCGGTTAGGCATACTGTCCATACTAATCCGTCACGAAAGCGGAGCTTTTCAAAAACGCTCTTCAAACCGGAGGAATTTGAAAACGCCGGCTTATCGTTTTATCGTGTCGACAGAAAACGTTTTGAAAAAGATGGCGTCATGATAATCATGTGATTTGCCTGCCCGAGTTTCCCTCAAACACAAATTCAAAATGACCGGTGATTGTTGCGTTTGTAGATTGCTCTGGCGTAGTGGACGGACGTGGCCTTTGTCAACCCCGTGCCCCTAGTTAATTTTTCTTTGTTCTCGTTTCCTCTCTTGAACCGGAATTACTTTTAATCACTTTTAATTAAGAATAAAATAGATGTTGCTAAAGTACGGCTACGACAGTTCTTGTAAGGGTGGTTGTAGTCCGGAGCTCATGGAGAATGTAAAATGCTTTCCTACCTTTCATACAATGGGTTATCGCTTTCATTAACGGTATCAATTTCAACGCTGAAAGAAAAAAAAAAAAATTTTTTGTACGTCTTTATTTGAATATTTCAGTTCAATGCACTGGGCTGAGTAAGCAAAGCGAGTCATAACAGTGATTGTAGTGGCTTTCTAACTCGGTCTCGTGACGTTCATCGTGTCGTTTTCTTCACTGAATGTAACCATGGAAGGACAACAGATTGTTCTGCCAATTTGAAATGAAGAAAGTCACAGATATACCTGTGAGTGAATGAATGATATCTAAATGACTTTGGTGTTAACTACAGACAAGAGGTTAATCTCCACTGCATCCAAATCGTTAAATTGTTGTTCTGTTGTTCTTACTTTAAGAAAGAACAACACTCGCCAGTCGATAAATCACGATCCAGTCAGAAATCATAAATCGGAATGAATAAAAAATTCATGATTTCTCTCCATCTTGCTGAGACTCCAGAACCTTCAGTCAAGCCGCAATCAATCCTCCGTAGGAAGAAAGATGGCAACTAATACATTTACCCATCATTCGTAGCGCATGAAAACTTTAACAACGTACAGAAAAGTTTAGTGAGTCTAACATCTCTAAACCTAGCATACACAATGTCGTAAGTACAGGGACAAATATTGCAAAAATATAAATTTCCTTCCACTTTATGGGCTGTGTATTGTAAAATTTACAGCCGTCATCTTGCCAAAATATGAAGAAAGGCTTGAATAGATGTCTTTGTGATGCTCGTATACAAAACGTTTTTTCTGAAGGGCGCGGCCATATACAGCTTTAAGACTTACCTTCCTTGGTACATGTCCCATGACGAGTTGTTTGATATATCGACTGCTTTCTCAGCTGATGTGAAGCTTACAACTAGCGTATTCCGATTATTGTGATTCCTTTTGATACTGCTGCAGCAAAAATCACAGTTTTCTAATGTTCAACTGGCATTATGGGTGTAATGTTTAATTATGTAAGGAAAATAGAGGAACAAGTAAACTGATGACAAAATCTACATGTATGAGAGTGATGATACAACATCGATAACAGAGACAAGCCTTGTGAAAACAAGCTAGGGACCGTTCATTTTTTATGAGGGAGGGGGGGCTGGTGGGATTTGGGAAGCACCATTTAAAAATCGCATGACTCCCCCTCAGCTTACCAATTTTTTCACATGGCCCCCCCTTATAGCGGTCATTTTTTGGGATG